CTACAACTACCTGAAAGAAGTTTGTAGTGAGGCGGGTGTTGGTCTCTTCTCCCAAGTAACTAGCAACAAGACGAGAGGCAGTGGCCTCAAGTTGAGTCAGGGGAGGGTTAGATTGGATATTAGGAAAAATTTCTGTGCTGAAAGAGTGGTCAGGCATTGGACCAGGCTTCCCAGGGCAGTGGTGGAGTCACCATCCCTGGAGGGGTTCAAAAAATCTGTAGATGTGGCACTTCGGAACATGGTTTAGCAGCCGTAGTGGTTTGGGTTGACGGTTGGACTTGATGCTCTTAGAGGTCTTTTCCAACCTTTATGATTCTATGATTCTATGACTGTCATCTCCCTTGAGGTGTGTAACTTCTAGAGGGGAAACCACCCACCCTCTGCTGATGAACTGATGCAGGCTAGAGCCCTTTTTCCCAGCGCTGCAGCCACTGGCACAGTCATGACATCTCTCTGCCTCCACCTCTCTGGTGGCCCCATCCAAGCTGTGTGTTGGGAATAGCCTCCCCACACTAACCATTAACCCCTTACCTAGAAATCATTCGGGTGAGGGGGATCTGACCCGCTGTTTGGCCTCTTTGCAGATGGGGAACTGGTCCAGTATCACTATGGGCTGAAGGATCTGGTCACCATCCTCTTCTACATCTTCATCGCCATCATCCTACATGCGGTGGTGCAGGAGTACGCGCTGGACGTGAGTGCTGTTTGGTGTCTTGAGTCACCAAAGTGTCTCAAGTACCCTGGGGGCACATGGTCCTGCTGCCATTAAATGCTGTTCTGGGGGTGGTCTGGAGCTTGAGGTGATGATGAGTGAGCCTTCATCTCTGTGGGCTGCTTGGGATGGGGAGGAGGAGGAGGGAGAGTTGTGGACTTGTTGGCTCATGTTTTCTTGTTCCTTTTCTCTCCCTCTGCTCCTTCCCAGAAAATCAACAGGCGTCTCCATCTCTCCAAGGTCAAACACAGCAAGTTCAATGAATCGGGGCAGCTGGTTGCCTTCCACCTCACCTCCGTGATTTGGTGCTTGTACGTCGTGGTGACGGTAAGGCCCGGGGCCACCAGGCTTTGAGTTCCCTGGGTGGGATTTGGGACCTCTGGAGCACAAAACCCCGATGGCAGCGGAGAGTCCCCAGCCAGCCCCTGGGCCAAGACGGGCACAGTTCCACAAGTTTAGTTTTCAAGTGTGGTGGGTCTTTCCAGCCGTGGAGTGAGGGCAGTCTCAGGACATCCTTCTCCTGCTTCTTGCAAGGCACAAGTAAATGGGCTGTGAAATATTGTCAGAGCCGGACCCCAGAAATCTTGCCTCGCCCTCATCATCTCCATCTGCTTCTCCGGGACCTGCTGTCTTTCTCAGCCTCTTATTTTCCTCCTGATTTTGCGTTCAGTGCCTTGGGGTTTTTGGATGCTCTTTACAGGGTCGTGGGGCTAACGGGCAGGTGTTTGTGATCCCTCTCTTGGCGAGCTGGTGGTGAGGAGATTGGTGAGAGCAGGGAAACCACACCGTGCTTTGGGCTGCACTGGGGATGTTTCATCCCAAAACTGCTGGGAGAAAAATTTGGAGTGAAAATGTTTCATTCTGAGGAGGAAGGGAGAGAGAAGAACAGGAATCATTGGAGAGATCTATTTTGGCATGAAGTGATGATGATGCTTTGCTACCGATGGCCGTTGGGGTCCAGCTGTGGTCCCCGGCAGCGCTGAGGCTGGATGCTCTGGGGCACGGCCCCCCCCCA